GTATATTATATTATTTATGTATAGATTTACTTTATATTTGTTATTCAGTAGCCAAGTAAGCCTCAGCTGGAAATCGTTGAGACTAATCGTGAGAACGAGCCCCACACATTTATTGATCCAAGAAATTCGTAGCGATTGCCTTAAAGTGTAATACGGACTGTACGGTTATTCATTACGGCGGCTTAAACAGGCGGATGGAGGTCACGTTAACGTGTTAAAAGTGCTTAAGCGGCTGCATGTCAAAGGGCATTGCCCCAAACCCAAGGAAAACAACTTGCCGCCTGCCTCCTGCCCGTCTGCCCCCTGCCTCCTGCCAGCTCCTCTCTACTGCCATCAGCTTGTTGCGGCTGTGCACGCAAAGGGCATATTAAAGAAACGTGTCCAATAAAACGAAAGAGGCAACATTTTCGCTTTTATTTCTTTTCGTTTTGAATATTTATACTCGTTGACTAAGCAAACAAGAGTATATTAGCTTCCTTTTATTTGCTTTGCGATGTCTCGCCGTCTGTTTGCTGTTGCGGCTGAGAGACTTGCAATTTGGAATAGATTTTTGTGTGGTTTATCCAGTCTAGAAAATTTGTAGAATAGAGTGAATAGAGAAAAGTAGCCAACATTCACACTTGACCCTCGCTACGGACTAGACTTCCAGTTACTGCAGAAGTGGTCTAGAAAATCTGTAGAATAGAGTGAATAGAGAAAAGTAGCCAAAATTCACACTTGACCCTCGGTACGGACTAGACTTCCGCCTTTGATGGCCGGAGGCAATGCAATTGAGTTTGAGCGAGCATGGAGCAGTCGTTGGCACCCGGACAACAATTAGGCGAGAGTGAAAGGAGCATCCGATGCTAGTTTTAATCCAGTTTTAAAATTTGTTGCATCAACGACATATTGATCTGCATAGCCAACAGGGGTGGGGCACGATTTATGCCACGTGCACCATGCAGCGTGCAGCGTGCCGCAACTTAAGCCGTGGTTGCTATTGTTGCATGGCATTCGTAATTAATATCAAGTTGACCCACTAAGGCGACCGCCTCAAGTTAAAGCCGTTATAATAAAGCCCTCGCCAGGAATGACGTGCACCGGCGATAAGTGCCAGCGCCCGCCCGTAAAGTGCTTGCCCCAAGGACCCCGGGCCACTGATGGTGGGGTTGTGGCTGGGTGGCGCCGGGTGGTGCTAGCTGATGCCTGTTGGCTGTTGGCTGTTGGCTGGTGGGTTGTTTGGCAGCGCTGGTGCTGGTGGTGTGGCTGGTGGTGTTGGTGGTGGTGTTGGTGGTCGCGTTGCTGGTTATGCATAATATTTGCATGGGAATTGCGGCGTATTTTGCATTAAGCTCTTTGTATAAACTGTGGGCAAATCCTTAGCCGCAGCTAAGCACACTTTTCACCCGCTTTAAGACACAATGCAATGCCGAGCAGTTTTAATTGATATACCTATTTCAGTATCACTTTCATTGCATTTGCCAAGATCCAAGCAACCCATAAACATCTTGGTTCAATTTCAAATACATTCACTCGGATCGTAGCAGGCGAATAGTTACGCTACCCTTTGGGAAACCTGAAATTTCTCAGTCCTACTCTAGCATCAGTTGAATTCGGTTGTGA